TGGCCTCTGCACTTCCCCGTGTCTGATTCACACAGATTTGTACACGATATCGTTTAATCTATAAACGTTAATTAAGCTGTGTCGAAGCAAACATATTCTAAATACTTACAAAGTGGATGTAGATATGCAAGGTATCAGTCTCATTACGCTCGCTCGTGCCAGAATAAAAATGGCGCGGATATTACAAGTAGCCCGGTTGTTGTCTACCCATGATGCTCAGTCAGATTCAAGGTATATTGGGCCAACGTAGGGCCGATGCCAATCCCCAAACAAATATTTTCTCTCATGATAATAGTTTTATGATATAATGCCAACAGTTAGCCCAACATTAGCGCACCATTATACATAACCAGCTATCAATATTCCATGTTTGGCCATCGTTGGCCCAATCAAGGTAACCCAACATAGATAATAGAACCATAATGTAAGATTGGGTCAACGATGTTCTGCTATCTGGGTTATTACAAATAAACAAGTATAAACACAATTCAAAAAATAGAATAAAGCACTCTTTGGTGCTGTGATCACTTAAGTGCAAAGTTAATGACACCATCAATTAGTTGGCAGTATAATAATTGGGCCAACGTTGGCCCAATACAAATATCCCATCTTTGAAACGCCTAAACAAAATAACACTTGTGTGTGATTACAAATATTGTGCCAACGTTGGGCCAAAATACTACTACCAACTTGATAGGGCGGGTTTAAGGGTGTATTACAAACAATGGGCCAACGTTGGGCCAATATAATACTACCAACTTAATAAGACACATTCTTTAAGGGTGAATTAGAAACATTGGGCCAACGTTGGGGAAACATTCTACTTCCAACTTGATAAGGCACTTTCTTTAAGGATGTATTACAAACATTGTGCCAACGTTGGGCCAACATACTACTACCAACTTGTAAATACACTTTCTTTAAGGGTGTATTATAAACATTGGTCCAATGTTGGGCCAACACCATGATCCTTCCTTCCTTGGAAAGTAAAGTGAATGGAAGTTGCTTACGTTGGACCAACGCTGGGCCAACATAGGAATTCCGTCATTGTCGAGAAGGTTGACTTGGTTACATTGGTCCAACGTTGGTCCAACGTTGTTCCCCCAACGCCAACCATACAACCTTTAACAAATGTTGGCCCAACATAGTCATGCTATCTTGGTTCAACATGTTCACGACATGATTAGATATAACGAAATAATCGTCATGCTTGTGATTCAAGTTTCTATGCCAGAAAAAGTACTCTGTAAAAATTTCATATTCCTCTGTATTTAATCAGTTTCCCATGCTCTGTTTTTTAGCTTTAACTTAATTATCTGCAAAGAGGGCCTGCGTCTCAATCGCCGTCTTAGTTTTAGAGTTACTTCCCGTTGTTATGAAACGCTGCCTGGCGCTATTTGTAGATCTGGCCACGTGGAGAAGTAAATAAAACTGGGTGATTAATGCAATATCTAGAAAAATAAAACCTTTAGAAAAAAAGGACACTGGTCCAAATATTCTTTTTTGTGTTAACTTAAAACACTACCCATTCATCAGTTTTAGTCATATTGAAAGTAAACATTTCATACAACAGGCTACAATTCTTATAATTATTATGTTCCCCAAACGGAGTTTGGGAACATATTGTTTTTATTCGGTTTCTTATTATTAAGGTCTTCCGTCTTCAGCGGAAGACCTTATTGTTTTTCATAGGTTTCTTTTCCACTATTTTTATTATTATTGTTTTTTTTTCTTACCGATTTTGTACGCGCGATTTCTCGAAAACGGCTTGATCGATTTTCATGAAACTTTCAGGTTTGATAGAACATCAAAAAATCTAGATATATATTTTTTTATTTTGATGACGTCACTTCCGGTTCGGAGTTTCCTGCAATTTAGTGAATTTTAGAGGGTCACTTTGTCCGGCAGTTTTCTCAAAAAGCACTTTACACAGAAGCTTGAAATTTTCAGTGATGCTAAAGCAACCTTTGGAGAAGTGCACTAAGTATATGACAACTACCGGAAGTACGAAGCGCCGACGCTCGCTTTGGCCCGAGAATAGTCCTATCAAGAATTTCAAAATTTTAAGCACTTTTTCAACAATAACTTTTTACCTAGAAATATTTTGTTAAAGCATGTAGAACAAAAAAAGTGTAGAATTTTAAGATCTTTCAAATGACATCTCGAAAAAAGGGCTGGCCCCTTAAATCAGGGGCCTGGAGGGGCCGAAAGTTTTTCCTTTATATCTCAAAAAGTATTGAGAATTTGTTATTCGTCAAAGAAACAAAATTGTTTAAAATCTCAAGCTTAATCTATTGAAGTCGTCAAAATACGTCCGGCGTCGTCACTTCCGGTCAAACCGGAAGTAGTCGGAAAACGCGTATTTTTGCCGTTCTCGACAAGTTTTCTGGTAACATATGTCTCTGGGAGCATTATAATCAATTTTACGTCAGTCGTCGTCACTTCCGGTCAAACCGGAAGTAAAAGAAAATGGCTTATTTTTGCAATAATTAACATGGATTTAGTGGAATCAAGCCATTTTTGGACGTTATTTCACATTTCTGTTAAAAATGAAAGCCACTTCCGGTCAAACAGGACGGAAGACCTACTCGTTGCTTTGCAACGAGCTTTGCTCTAGTTATTATTCTTTTTTTTCTTCTTTGTTCTCCGGTACTTTTTTGTCCGCGAGTGTTCTCAGAAACTGTTCACCCAACTAAGCTAAAACCTTTTTAGGGTTAATAGGTGTGTAGTGTAGGTGTGCGGAACGAAGGTCATTTTGCGCGCATACGCATGCACGTGCGTGCGCGTGATATGAGTGAAATGACCGATATACTTAATATAGCTATAACTTTTACATTTTTTAATGAAATGATTTGAAACTCATTCTATAAAGATATATTAATAGTGTAGATAATATGACACTGTCAAATTAGCACGAACTCACGCGCATGCACGTGAGCTTCGCTCTGATTGGCTGACACAAAAATCTCAATATCTTTTCTGTTTTTTGACGAAATGATATGAAATTTAAAATATAGGCATACTTTAGGATGTTCTACAATGTGATATAAAACAATTGTCTTGAAAACACGCGCATGCACGTGCTCTGCAATCTGATTGGCTTAAACTTTAAATGGCTGTAACTCCCTTGGTTTTCAACCAAAGAGGATGGGATTTAGAACATAAACACATATAATGGACTCCTACAAGAAGGTATGGTCATCATGCACATACAGGCACGTGCGTGCACGTGCGCTTCGTTCGGATTAGCTGAAACAAAAATCTCAATATTTTTTCTGTTTTTTGACGAAATGCTATGAAATCTAATATATATATATACTTTAGGATGTACTACAATATTATGTATAACAATTATCGTGAAAACACGCGCATGCACGTGCGCTGCAATCTTATTGGCTAAAAATGTAAATGGCTATAACTCCCTTGTTTTTCAACCAAACAGGATGGGATTTAGAACATAGACAGACATAATAGACTCCTACAGGAATGTATAGTCCTCATGCACGTGCGTGCACGTGAAATGAATAAAATTAAAAATACGCTTAAATGAGTGTATTTCTTAATACTTCTGGATTAATTGAATTGATATTAAGTATATTAAAATATATAAATAGTGTAGACAAAACAATATGGTCATTACGCACATGCATTCAGATGAGCACGCGTGCAATGCTAAAATTTATTGCATAAAGTGTGCCTTATTTAATAGCGCTTGCAGCGAATATGGCACCAAAAGGGAGTTGGGGAGCGTTTGGGGAACATCTGTAACGGTCCCCGTTACAATTAGCCCTAGTTAATCTAATACCATGGTATCTGGCTACCTGTATCGACATTTTTTCTTTAAATTCCTTCAAAAGGTTACTACAGTTTGGGGCAAATTTTGGTACATTTGTGAAGTTAGATATAGGATAAATCCTTTTCACTTTAGCTATTATTTTTATTTAACTTTAAAAGTGTTAGTTATTTCATTGTTTTGTGTTGCAGTGGGCAAGTATAAAAATTGTAAAATCAATCATTGATCAATGAATATTAGGAATTCTAAGATGCATTAGTGTTTTTGGCCACATTTCGCCTTCGCGCAGCTTCCTCCATGGTAAAATTTTCAAATGTTTACAACCCTGAACCATAACTTTTAAATGGTAAGGTTTTGGACTTTTATACTTCACATATATAATCCTTGTAAGAAGATCTTTAATTGGATACCAAGAACTTTGACCCTTTTACCTTGGAGATTGACCTACATTTCAAGAATTTTAACCTTGGCCATAGCTATTAAGCGGTAACGATTAGGGATTTCAACCTTCACATATGCATTACCTGTGACCTTTCTTAAGAATCAACAATTCAGATCCTTTCACCTTGGAGTTTGACCTACCTTTCAAAAATTTATCCTTGGTCATAACTTTTGAAAAGGTGGTGCTAGGGGTTTTGTATTTCACAATCGTATTATCTTGTCTGAGAACTCTACTTTGGGTGATATTAAATATATTTCATATGCATTTTAAAAATCTTCGTTATGTTGTCATACGGGGTCATTATTGTTTCACAAACACACCTTGTTCCTTATATTGAGAAGAGATACGGCTTTCATATTTGACATGTCCATTACTTGTGACAAGATATTTTCGAGCATGCTATGATTTCTGTAATCTTAGATCTGTGAAACATTTTAGCGTAATGTGACGTCATTTTCATTGTGACACCATTCTATTCAATTGTGACGGCAGTCTGGGTATTGTGACGTGTTTGAAATGACGTTGCGTGAAAACTTATGCGCAGATCAAGTAGATCGGACCTCGTTAAATGACGAATTTTATTTGCTGACAAGGTCATTGTATCAACCATAGAACTTACAATATGACGATTTTAAACGAGACTGCTGATCTTCTTGCTTCATCAACTTGTAAGTTGTTTGTCAATAATTTGCTTCTTTTTAGAAATTGTTCATACATAGAGCATGCTCTTGCGTATCGAATCAACTGAAAGATATAAATTCTGCAGGCGATGAGGGTATATTGCCCATCCGCATAAGAAAGGGCAGTTGAAGATTGAACAGTTAAATTCATCAAGTTTATCAAAGAATGAAGTTGATAGATAACCATTAAAATCTTTTTCAAGTAAAATTTCCAACTTTGAAATAAATTCGTCAGATAATGCGGTATCTTTTATCTCAAGCTCACTGAGATATATCGTATCGATATAAGAATGGAAAGAACCATTGTTAAGTAGTCGTGGATACATGTATATTCAAATGTTGAGTTGAAGGCCACAGCACGTTTTTTTTCTTTACACATATTATATATTAAACAAATTCTGATTCATATGAATACAAAAATAGGTCTCTTAATAACCGGGCGCAATTGGTATCATGATTCAGTGAAAAAGTTCATGTTTAATGATCTTGTAAAAATGAATACACGATGCAAGGAAGAAGAAAGTGACGTCACATCCGTTCATTGCAGCGATGAACATTAGGCGTTTCAGTGCCCGGAAGCTTTAAACTTAACAATGACTTGCAGTAAGTTTCCTTCTTTTATTTATTGTTACATTTTATTTCTATTAAGTATAGTTTATCACATCATAGATGACGATAATCAATTTTTAAAAGTTGAATGGTTTATACGAGTGTATTTCTTCTTTGTTTCTTAATCATTGAAATATAACACTGAAATGCATTGCTTGATGGGTTCTTCCTGTATCTGAGTATTCTTTATGTCATTTAATGAGATTTCTTAATAGTGTTCTTGATATTCTTCACCATCGTGTGGCCGATCCTTTACACTTATGTCTACGGGGAAGAAATGTGAGTACACAAAAAGTAAATTAATGTATTATGAACGAGTTAGTCATATATACTCACAAACTTGATAAGATGATTCATATAAATTTTACTTTCCCATCGACATACAAAAAGTTTTAACTGATTTACATGGCATCAGATGGTTCATTGACAAAGAAATATTATTTCATATATGAAATAATTTAACGTGCCAGAAAGTCGTCAGAATCATCAATACATATTTCAATCACTTACTCCTGCACCCAATATACATGTAGCACACTTCACAATTATGAAACAAAAACAAATGATAGTCAAGTATCACTTGAATCATTATGAATGTAGGTTTTGTCTGTTGTAGTTAGGGGGAAGTTAATCTCAAACATTTAAGCAACTGAAAATTTTGAGAGGAAGTGTAGAAGAATTCGCCATTTTTCATACTTTTTATACCATTTCTGTTAACATTTTGTAAGAGGTTACATGTAACATGTCCAAAATTTTATTTTTACAATAGCTCCAAACGTCTTCTATTTTAGAGAATCCATACAAGGTGTCGCAGAAATTTATAGCAGACTAGCTAATGGATCAACGTGTTTCAACAGTTCCTCTCGTATGTAAATCTTATGAGGCTGTAAAGTTATGTTGTACGTAAAATTTATAAAGCTGAACATCGGTATCTCAAATACCCTGGATATACCGAAGAATTTGAAAGTCCTAAACACATATTCCTTAGTATTTTACCCTTTATATTTCAGTCATCGGAGATCATTCGACGAGTCGTTCCTCGTCCCGTCTTGTTCGGGATAACAAGGTTTTACGTTACCTACGTAGGTGCTTAAAAATATGTTAAAAATAAAAGTCAGCTGTCAAATGACAACTCTGGACTTTCTCCTCGTCAAAAAACTTCTTAACCTTATGTAGGTTTTATTTAATGCTTGTAATGCTGAACACATAAAATATATGGGGATAACGAACAGTATTCAAGCTCAAAAGTCCACAAAACAACCCTAACGTAGATTTTCCGCAACATCCGTGGAATTCCATATCAAATTCCATGGAATTCCACGTATATATTGTTCCGCAGAATTACATGGAATTCTTGAGAGTATTGGGACGGAACTTTTTCCGGAATGGTATGGAATTTTAGTCTAGCCTGGAAAAAGAGCGGAACAATGCCAGAATAGAAATTTGCGGAGGAAATCCGTGGAATTCCAGATTATTTGTAAATTTAAGGAATTCCATGGAAATCCGTGGAATTCAAGGAAAATACAATAGAAACTGTATTAGTATCAAATATTACAAAAAAAAATTGATAACATCACAATTTTTCATACATCAAATGTATATTTGCAAAATAAAAAAATCACTGTTCCTTTTACAATGTTTTTTGAGACAAATATAATAGCATATACCTCTCAGACGTACAATTTAAGCACACTTTTTAAATGCATGTATTCTCACTGACACTTCAAAGTATTTTACATCAAAGGTTATCAACAAAAATATCCAAGAAAAATATGATTACTGGAGGGTCGCCTTGGTTAAATTAATGATAATCAAGTTATGATATACCGGTACATATATGTAGTAAAGTAAAGTCTGCATTTTTTTTCACATAAGAGGTAAGATTCATTAAATGACATTGGCCAAAGATTGGGAGAGGTCTTACATTGAAACCTCAACAGGATACACATTTACAACAAACTGCCAGTGGCCCATGTAAATTTACTGTACAAAGTTAGTGACTAGAGTGATAAACACATGTAGTAAATGCAAAAATATATGTACCACATAACTACATTGATACAAAGATCCCATAAAATCAACAGTTGCTATCTTCCCCCAATGTACGTGCCAAAGATCCCAATTGTGGAAGATCCAAAACTTCTGACATGTTGCTAGAATCACTTCCTCACAGATATCCCATGAAATTTGTAATAGAGGGTTGGCAGATAATTGGCGTCACGAACGGATTCACTTTTAGTACAAAGGCTCAGCAAGTTCCATGTTGATCATTCCAACAGACTCTTCAAACTTTCCTTGCACAACTGCTGAAAGAGGAGATGACCATTAAGATGTATCATTATTGATATCCATATAAATATATGACAAATAATAAACTAAAGATCTACAAAACAATTGGTTCTTTCTACCTGGCAGATCAGTTTACTGTATATTATGAATTCACTATCTTGCAATTTTTTTTCAAATTTGGATTAATTCTGATAAATTTAAAAATGTGAAAAGTTATTTGTGTAATGGCTAGGGCCGTGGATATCGGCCTGGATAGCTCAGTAGGTAGAGCACCTGACTAGAGATACAGGGGTCCCGGGTTCGATTCCCGGTCCAGCCATGCATTTTCTCCTTTCCTGTTACAGATTTGGTGCAGTTGACCACCCCTGGAGGTGAAAGTCCTGCCAGGGGCAATAAGAACTTGGGTTGTGTCTTCGAGGGCGAAGACCATTTAAGAAGGGAGGAATGTAATGGCTAAGGCCGTGGATATCGGCCTGGATAGCTCAGTAGGTAGAGCACCTGACTAGAGATACAGGGGTCCCGGGTTCGATTCCCGGTCCAGCCATGCATTTTCTCCTTTCCTGTTACATTTGTTTTGAATGATAATTTTAGCTGGTTCTCACCATATTCACAAGCCTAGGGCCTAGTGACTGATTGGCTAAGCATCTATACATTTATCAAACGCCAGGGCTGTGAAAATCATCTCAGGTAATGGCTTATGCAGCAACTATTAAAACAATCAAAACATGCAAGATAAGAGCTGAAAATGGTAATGAACATGCATTACAAAATATTATATATAATTAATTACATGTACATCATACTCTGTAAACGTAATCTTGAACAAAGGAAGAAACAGGTAAAATTCTTTACATCAGTTCGATTCCAAACAAGGAAATTCGGGTTAAAATCCACGATCTTAATTATATATTTAGATTTGTTAAATATTTACTACAGAAATAGTGCTTGTCCTAACGATTTCACATTTTATGTCTGATGCCCGGATTAATCAGTAGCAGGAGCCTTCTTCATTCAAGGACACATAAAATACTGTACAATATAGACCCTATCAAGGTTATTGGCCGCCATCTTGGACTGGGGGCAAACATTGGGGGCTGACGTCATAATAACAATGGCCGAATCGAGCTCCGCAGCTGACGATGCAGCGAATATATTCGCCGCGTATAATTTACCTGCGTCGTAACAAGTGTACCTAGGTGTGCAGAAGAGACCCCAAGGTAATATATTTTTACCATAAACAAGTATTTTATCTTTTATTTACACTTTAATGACGTAAGTTGCAAATTTACTCAAGGTTGTCAGAACCACGTGGCCGAAGGAAACGCTTCCTGTACTTTGGAGGTCGGTCATGTTTTGCATTGCCCTGGCTATATGCGGCATATTTCAGTACTGTAATTTTTGTGGTCTTAGGTGGAGATGATTTGGATGCTAGGTAACTTTTTTCCGAAGGCCTGAGACAAAATTTAAATTTTTTATAGAGCTTTGAAATCGGCCAAAGGGGGTGAGATATCGAAAAAAAATGAATACATCGGTATAAGATGAGTTTTAATCATCAATATTCAAGGTGGAAAATTATTTTTAATTAATATAATTAATTTAATATAAATAAACTATATTTTGTATATTATATATATAAAATTAAGTGTCATTAATTCATTACACCTTTACTGTACTTTCCTAGTCACTAGTCATTCACAGTTCAGTATTGACATTGTTTATACAGAAACTCTTGCAAGTATATAGATGTACAAGGGGGCCAAGAAATATTGAAGATATAAAGACACCTTGAAAAAAGTATTTTTCCTCATGAAAATATTTTTTTCATCACTGCAATTTTGAATGCTTCTATTATGATTAAGAATATTGCTAGTTATTTGCACAAAACTTTGAAATTGAATGAGATTTACATATATTTTAAAATACACTGTACATAAATATAGCAAATATTTTACATGCATAAAATAAGGTATGACTATCCTCAAATTCATGTTTAGTCAATTATAAACAAGGAGAAATAAAATAAATAAAGAAAAAAAAAGAAAGAAAAGGAAACCAAAAGGATTTTAATATTTATTCATGTATAGTTATACCAGAAAAAAATGTCCATGGTGCATGCCTATGAAGAATAATTATGCAATTTTACACAATTTAATATTATTGTAGAAGAGAGGATGTCCCAGAAACACCTGGAGGCTTGATTCGGAGTCAGAGTTAAAGACACAGGATAAAAAAAAACCCTTTTTGCTTCATCTGTTATAAACAGCCAATGAAATTGGATCAAAAAGTACATAAATATAGTAGCATTGAGACATAATACCACCAAATTACAAGCATGAATAATTCCTTATACATGTAATATGCTAAGATCTTCCTCATTATTGCAAAGCAAATTGTTATTTTTTAAATACTTAGTTTTAAGAAATGGATATCTACAATATATGAATTTTATCAATTACCAAAGATATTTCATTAGAAAATTGTTAAATTTTTATAATTATACATGATTACATGTACCTACATGTATCTATTTTTTCAGAAGAGTGCTCTTTCAACACTGCATGGCAATATAAACAGTATATGCCTCAAGTAAGTTTTAACTCTTCATATTTCAAATTTAAAGGAGATCAAGTTGTTTTGCATTTTTGCAACTTTTGCTTTGAAATGCAGTTATGTTGTCGTATGAATGATTAAATGACTCTTCTTGAGAAAAAGGTCGAGAAATGTGTGAAATGTAGTTTTTTTAACTGTTTATAAATCAATTATTAAAGGCTATTTGCAATGATTTGAAACCACCTGTAGATTCAAAATGCATAATCATTTTACAAAGTTATACTTAATTATCATAAATGATAGTCTCTGTGCTATTTCTGTTTCAACAGATTTCTTTCTGATAAAATCATAGATACTAAACTCTGAAGAATAATGGTCCTACTCCTGTGAAGTGTATAATCTCCTCATTGCAGATTTTGAAGAATCCTCAATTCAAATCCAGACTGCAACAGCCCTACATGTAGCTGTTGGACTCTTATGGGATAACAATAATCAAAAGTCATGATATCGACGCATGGATTTTATCTCATCTTGATTAAATGTAGAGAAATCACAAACAGTCTATTTTGTGAAAGAAACTGAAAGAGAAAGGATTTTATACTGTCCTTTTGAATTTGCTAGGAAGTTTTTTTTTTATGAACTTTATCTAAATTACCGCCCATGTACATATTTTTGTTGAAAGATAAAGTACACTTATTTACACCAAAATACTGATTAGCTTCAACTAAATATCAAGGATTTACATTTGCCAAGAATATTTTAATTTTACTAATTTGATGTTATATATTACAATTATTTGAAATACAATGTAAATACCTATAATACTTACTTTAATATATAGAATCTCTTTGCATATATTTGCATGTATACTCGGAAAAATCAAATGCAAGTTTTTTTTTTCAAAGTTGTTACAATAAGAGCTATTTAAAAAGGAAAGAAAAAAAAATTGACATGATATTAAAACTTGTAATTTTATTTCAGCTTGTAAAAAATACATGTAATAATCATGATAAATAATAAATTTGTACACGTATGTAAAATTGTTTTCAATTGAGAATACTTGACTCTCTTTAGCGCTTGATCCTTGTGATGTCATGTGCTTTATATGAATGTGATTTACCCACATTTTAAAATTGAGCTCTAGATCTGGCTGCCAGGTCTGTTGAAGAAATTTCAGGGTGATGGAGGAAAGGGGGATCAACTGAAAAGTAATGTACATGGTGCACGTTGTAATATTGCAGTTCATTTAAGGTAAATAAACACAAATTATTAAAGAAAATGCTCTTATTTAGAATAAAATATGTTGCTTACAATACGTATACGTTCAGTTCTAAATGACAATGACTGTGAAGCGATCGCTAGACGAAAATTGATGCGGTGCATCTGCATCAGCTGCCATTGTTTACGTTAGCTACGATGTCGCGTGATGCCCCCAATCCAAGATGGCGGCCAATAACCTTGAAAGGGTCTATTGTACCTACCGGTCTTTAAAATGTCTTCATCTTCTTCCATCCCAAGCTAATCATCGGATTATATCATGATCCCCATGTTCGTGACACCCTCGTTCCAACTTTCCGTCTGTGCAACATCAACATAGCTTTCGATTATCGATATTTTTTGAATTTCGGCGTGTTAAAATTAATTGTTCATCGAGCCCGACTTCGATCCCGATGTTATTGTACTATTAGTCGACAGTTTAAAAAAAATCTAAGTAATTTTCCATAGTTTTCCAGCGCAGAAAATGGCTAAGTTTCTCATTTTACCATTTTTTTCCAAAGAATTCCACTATTTTCCAAGCCAAAAAAGTCTAAGTCCATTTTTTCTTTCAAATTCCGAAATGTTCCAAAAACTTCCAGACACACGTTTCGAGTTATGTATGGAAATGATTGGAATTCCATGGATTTCCAAAACTTTTCCAGACCCTTTGGAAAATCTACATTAGGGAATACAAAATTGGAGTAAGGCAAACATGGAACTCCCATTAACATTGGGATCAGGTGTCATGGATCATTGAGCACCCATTGCCGAACGGCCACAAACGCCTTGTGCTTCTTGTCATGTTCGAAATATAACAAAAAAATCAATCGTCAATTCAGTGTGTAAATAATGGAAAAACATTTAGTATGAAATAAGACAGTCAGCATTTGACTCATTACTAGATTGTGTTTGCTGACAAGGCATCGTATCGACGATAGTCCTTACGAAATGATGACTTTGTAATGAGACGGCTGATATTCTTGTTTCATCAACGTATTCGTCAATAATTTATTGTCCCCCGCTTGAAAAGTGGGGGATATTAATTTGGGTTTGTCCGTCCGTCCGTCTTTCTGTCTGTCTGTAACGCTTTCGTTTCCACACGATATCTCAAGAACCCCTTAAGCTTTCGCAATGAAATTTAGCATAGCAACTCCCTATGGACTAAAGAAGACCCCTATTGATTTTGAGGTCAAAAGGTCAAAGGTCAAGGTCATCAATAAGCAAATTCTGTCTGTTATAACACTTTCGTTTCCACACGATATCTCTAGAACCATTTGAGCTATTGCAAAGTTTTACATAACAACTCCCTGTTGGCTAAGGAAGAGCCCTATTGATTCTGAGGTCAAAAGGTCAAAGTTCAAGGTCGTAAATTTATACATTCTGTCTTTGTGTAACACTATCATTTCCGGGCGATATTTTAAGAAGATTATGAGCTTATGCAATGTAATTTTATACCAAAACTCCCTAGGACCTTTCTCACCCCTCTCAAAGTGCCCCCGCCGTTTGTTTAATAATGTATTTATAGTATTACATGCCGCTATTTTTAGCACAGGGGCATGCGGAGAGTTGTTGCGTATAAAACAGGTTCTCGGCGGACTTTATGTTCTCATTACATCTATTAGAACTGTTTAATAAAGGCTAAATAAATCAAACACCATGGATTGTGTAAAATTTTGACAATACCAAACATGAATTTATACATGTATGTGACTTCACTTCTGCATATACTTGCTTACTTTTAAAGCGACTCCGCCGGGGGTCTAGTGGTATGTCTCTCGCTTCGCATGGGAGAGGTACCGGGATCGAAGCTCGGCCGATCCTTTTTTTTAACTTCTTTTTTTTTTAATGATAGTATTCAGCATGTGAAAAGAAAAAAATATGAGGTTATAAAATCATCATTACAGTGTGATAAATATTCCAAATAAAGAATAAGCAATCAAATCTTTATACGCATATTGACATACATGTATTTTATTTGCCTCAGTATACATGTATACATTTAATAATTCTACAAATTCAGTCAGGGGGATCCGACTTTTTCCCCAAGCGGGGGACACGAATTCTCTGAATTAGCTTGTTTTGTCTTAAAAATTTTACATACGTAGAGCATATATTACCATTGAGCACTGAAGGTTACATTTGTTTTCAAAGAAAGTAATTTTTTGTTCATACGATTTCTTCCTTCTGCAAAACTGTAGCTCTTATATTTGGTAGTCTTATATTCTTATATCTTTTTCTTTTCAGTTGATGATTTTGAACAGGATGTGAAAAAAAATTGTAAATGGTCAGATGGAAAGGAAGATAACTATTTTATTTTCCAAATAAATTACGCTGGGAACACCTTCCTGTATCTGCGCAATAAAAAGAATTCTACGTGTAATTACAACAAGATCGATGTAATAATCGAGTGCAATATGAACGAAAAAGCTATAGGTACCCAGCTTCAAAGCGATATGTATGCCTGGATTTTTTTTTCAAATAATGCAAATAATATTGTTTTTTTAATATTAAGAAATTGTTAACCTTCTTGAATTATTCAAAATTCTACCTTTCGACAACAATCCTTGTAAATCTATACAATTTCGTCACTTTAAATCTCATAACTGTGAAATTTTGAATTAAAAAAAATTAAAAGTACAGGGTGAAACTTTTTCTCTCTGCTCAATAAACATGACTCAAAATGTTATTTTCGATTTCTTATACAAAAATTTGTTTGATTATGACTTAATACAATTTCAGAACCAATAAAAAGTTGTATTGTTGACCAATGTCTCAACAAACAGAGACCCGGGATGATGAAAGATAATGGTAAATATTATTATTTCCTATCTAGCTTGTAACACGAGCTTTGATTGGTTACAAAGTCGGGTGTAAATATCCGTGCACCCGACTTGAGCCGGGTGTAAATAAAACGTGACGTCACAATGCATATATTCTCTATGATAATTAAGAAATGAATAACAAGTTTATAAACTTCGATGGGAATTGAAGTGGGTCGGTCACGTGATCAAATTCTGTGAAGGCCGAAGGCCTTCTCAGAAGATTTGATCACGTACCGACCCACTTCAATTCCCATTGAAGTTTATAAACTTGTTATTTATTACTTATATATACATTTGAGACAGAAAATTGAATATTTTCGAATTTAAATTATTGCACTAACCGTCCGTCGTAGATTTTGAAAAATGGCGCAAGGTAAATCGGCTTGCATGGCGGTTTCGCTTCGAATTCATTAGGCTAAGGAATCTATTTCGAAGGGAATATTTTGTGAATGGCTACTTGTGATCAGTAATAGTGAACAGATTGTTGTTTGGGAATATTATTATTCGTGAAAATTGATAATCGATGCTGAAAAGACACAAGAAACACGTCCGAAGTTTGATGATAAAAAGTTGGAGGAATTTCGGTCGCCGGAAAGGGATGGATGGATCCGATGGATTGAGACACTTGTCCGAGCCAGTTAATTTGCAATTTGATCCAAAACATTCTACGATTTCAGTAACTATAGACATACTTATCGTAAAGCATTTATAAACATGGACACTGGCGACAGCTTTACATTGAACTACGAAAACGCCGAGGTGTTTGGCAGCTGATCATGGCATGATTGCAATGATATTTTCCAACAGATTTACACTTTTATCGTGAGTAGAATTTAAAGATAAAATAATAGTTTATCGAGAAAATTTAACGAAAGGTCTACCCCAAAAATAAGGATGAACGTTAAAGACTGTGCAGCTGACAAAAGTGAAAAAAATGTAAGCAAACGCTAGTTTTTTCTATGTACACAGGTTGAATCGATAGCCAACAAACTGTATGAAATACTAGTTTGTATTGTAAATAAAATAATTATCATTTTACTTGCTTATTTTATTCATTTTTATACATGAAAAGCAAGTGGAGCAGGTCATTTTATAATTTTTTACCGGTAGATATTATTGCGCCGTGTGATTAGGTCACGTACTGACCTCTGACCTCTGACAAACTTCATACAGAATTGAAGATATTTTCTCTCTGTATGTTTATATAATGGAGAGATACCACAAATGTATATATAAACCAAATAACGTGATTGTAGTACGTAGTTATCTAATCGATAGATTGAGACACACTTTGATGTTTACAAAGCATTTTTATGGATATAAAGGAAATAAATTCGTTATCCAGGTCCAATCAAGGGTGTACGGGGATTTAGCCCGGGTTGTATTCCATACACCCTTCGGCCTACGGCCTCAGGGTGTATGGAATAAAACCCGGGGTAAATCCCCGTACACCCTTGATTGAACCTGGATAACTAATACTGTAACCGTATGCTAGTTTATTTTTTTATTTATAAATCAATGCTGTTAAGAAATTTTTAGAATTTTTTTTTTTTTTTAGAATTTCTTTCTACGACTTTAATTGCTAATACTATTTCAAAAATTGCTAATTCAATCTTTAAAATTATTTTCTTGATCAGAAAAGCAGTTCTCTTAGTTTCCATCACTTTTATTAAATGTTTGGTAATAGTTTATTGTTTGTGATAAAAATCCTGGTGTTTATGTGAAGCATTGCTTGAATATGTATATGATTATTGTAGAAACTGAGAAATTGGTCATCACATCTAAAGAAACTACTGAAAATCTAGGGATCATTGCAGCGGTCGTTGAGGGCGTTATTATCATAATCACAATAGTTATCTTTACTTTAGTTAAATCCAGGAAAAGCAAAGCGACAATTGGCTGTCAAAAATCGTGGTTAGTACTTTCTAATTTATTTAATCCTTCACAATTTTAGCTTTTTTGTTAACACAATTGTGTTTTAATAAGATAATTTTCATATGTTATTTCTTGATTCAATAGTATTTTTTTATTTCATTACCTGATAAAGCATTGAGAGATGTTGTTCTGTTTCATCATTGACGTCTACAAGACATAGAAGAGAAAATGTAAGTAAAAATCCATTTGCTCTTAGGAAGAAATGTACATTTGAAAAAAATTTCAAAAAGGTAAAGATAACATAACTGAAGGATATTTAAGTTGTTTGAAATCAATGCATTGAAGAGATAATTAAGATTTGAAGGCGATGGACGATGCATGTTTCAAAGAAATACGAGACGTGGACTTCAACCTGATATTCAAGCCTGGTTTTTTTGTGGTTAGAATAGTAATTATATTTGCGTAAATTTATTTGTTTGAAAATTTGAGAAAATAATGGATTTTAGTAGCATTCTCTTCCGTTTAACGAGACGGGTTTAAAAATTTACGATATCAATCTACCGTATTGTAATGTTGTGAAGAAATAAACAAAATGGACTTTCCTTGACGTTTTTCAAAAGACAATTTTAAACTTTGAAACGAAATATGTGAAGAAAACGAACAAAATTTAAGCTCAAAATTCGAACTGAATAAACTTTAATGCAAACACAAGACCCCAATGGTTTATTTAGTTTACATTTGAATCAAAAGAGTCATGCTGTATTATAGGTTTATTGTATGACTACGAATAATTAAGTTGATATACATTTTACTAAAGCCGAACACGACTTGTAAATAGACATGCGCCATTTTCGATATCATTATCTACAAAACATCAACACCAGGGTATACTCATCGCATGCTTTACACCTGACTGCTTTATTGCCATGGGTATCGGAGCGGGATGGTGACCCGTGTTCGTACTGGTTATCTTGCCTTTGTTATGTTCCCCAAACGAAGTTGGGGAACATATTGTTTTTACTCTGTTTCTTATTATTATTATTATTATTATTATTCCTGGGAAAATTTTGTCTTTGAGTGATCTTGTAAACTACACATCCGACTTAGGTAAAACCTTTTTAGGGTCACTAGGGATGTTATGTAGATTTGCCGAACGAAGGTCATTTTGCGCGCACGTGCTTGCAAGAGCGAGCACGTGCAACACGTTAAATGGCCAATATAAGGTATATTGACTTAACTTTTCTATTTTTTGATGAAATGCTTTGAAACTCATAATGTAAGGATATATTAGTAGTATAGACAAGATGACATGGTCAAAATAGCAAGATCTCACGCGCATGCACGTGCGCTTTGCTCTGATTGGCTGAAACTAAAGTCTCAATATCTTTCTTGTTTTTTGACGAAATCCTTTGAAATTTTCAACATAGCCATGCATTACGATATCCTACAACATGATATATAGCAATTATCATGAAAACACGTGTTTGCACGTGCGCTGCAATCTGATTGGCTGAAACTTCAAATAGCTATATCTCTCTTGGTTTTCAACCAAACAGGATGGGTTTTGGAACATAGATACATATAATGGACTTCTACAAGAGGGTATGGTCACCATGCACATGCATACACGTGCGTGTACTTGCGCTGCAATCTGATTGGCTGAAACTTAAAACAGCTATAACTCCCTTGATTTTCAACCAAACAAGATGGGATTTGGAGCATAGATATATATAATGGACTTCTACAAGAAGGTATGGCTACCATGCACATGCATACATGTGCGTGTACGTGCGCTGCAATCTGATTGGCTGAAACTTTAAATAGCTATAACTCCCTTGGTTTTCAACCAAATGGGGTGAGATTTAGAACATAGATAGATGTAATGGACTTCTACAAGAAGGTATGGTCACCATACTCATGTATGCACGTGCGTGCACGTGAAATGGGTAAAATAAAAAAAAAACACTTGAATGAGCGTTTTTTTTTTTTATACTTTTGGATTAAATACTTTGATATTTAGCATATTAAAATATATAGATCGTGTAGACAATATGATATGGTCATTACGCACATGCATTAACATGTGTAAGTGTGCAATGATAAAATTTGAATGAACATAGTACACTTTTGGGTAAACGTTGTTAAAGTCTCAAATGCATAGACTTTGTCTTATTTAATTACGCTTACAGGGAATATGACTATAAAAGGGAGTTGGGGAGCGTTTGGGGAACATCTGTAACGGTCCCCGTTACAATTAGCACTAGTTTACATTAAATTGCAGTTACGTGTATCTATGTTTGTTTGAATACTGCACTGACTTGTACAACCATAGTTGTAGGATTCATTGGTATCTTACATTGTACTTTCCAATTAGACAAATTATCAATTACTTTTGTGGCTACCGAGTGCTGCAAATCAGTGTCGACTGATTACAAGGAACAGCATCTACAGCAAGCCTTACATAAAGAGGTCTTCAGATATGGCGAGAATTCGAACAAAAATAGCGGACACATTCCTTTTAAGAATCGTGTTTAGCTTTAAAAGGTGTCATCATTTTCACATAATAACACATTTTTGTGAGTGCATTTTATACTCTGAACAAAACTTTTGTTTTCATTTCGAAATTGTAGGCATCTCGAACTTCATCTCAACCGGCGGAGATGGCTGTATATGAAGCCATTCCTGACAAAAATGTATACGATCATTTACACGAGGAACCGAAAACGATCCCAAAACCAGGTCGATATTCAACAATGAAAGAAATTCGTGAAATTCGTCAGGCTAAAACTGATGAATCTTATCAACCAGTAGACGAAGAAAAAGTTACGGTTTGTGTTAAGAACGATGATAAAAATGAAAATAACACATTCCAAATACTACAACAATCAGCTGAAGGTGATGATGGAAAAACAAATTTAGATGAGAAGCAACCAATGGGTGAATATTTTGTTCTTGAAAAGAAATGTTCGGAAGAAAAAGATGTAACAAATTAATATTTAACAATCCAATAAATCAATTAATGTAATTAAGATACTTTATGTATGCATATGACATCCTGCCACAGTGTATTATATTTATTCATAATATCAAATAAAATTTTTAATCAGAAAACTTGTTCCTTCTTGAGTAATTATAAATAATCTATTAGTAAGCTTGCGATAATTTTTGTCAGTAAAAGAGGCTTGCTTTCTTTATAATTTCGATATTTAAGACATTTTTCAGATGTCTCATCAGGAGATCTAAATTGTTGGATTTTTTTATTTCTAACAGAAAATCAAAACTATAGTGAACATGACAACTTTTGAATGATGTCCAGGTCCTCCTTCCTTTTTCTAGAAAAGTTTATTTATTTGAACTAAAATATTCACATAAAGCATTAAAAATATCGAGATCGCACAAGGAGGTAGGTTATTATTTTTTTAAATTTCTTCAAAGATACTATTTTCAAAAGATTACTCATATTGTATGCTATTTTATGCAAAATAAAGTAAAACACAGGGAATATATATATATATTCTTTCCTTTTTCATGGAAATAAAATGAAGCAAAATAATGAAAGTATAGTAAAACTTTATGTTGGATATCAATCGAATGCTCTTTTTCAAGTGCGCCTAGATTTTTGCCCAGTGACAATTAAATGTGGACCTATAGTTCTTAGTTGTTTTGGAACCTGTGACATGTATCTACGCGGGTATGTTAAGACAGAAGACAGATCAGAATTCGGCGAATTTACACTTTTATTTTTGTAATATGTAACACTAATTATAAATCGGAAAAGTCATGTAGAACTTTTGCGATAATGCACTCTAAAGACTTCAGTTGGACGTATACTACAAGAAGCACTACTCCTCGTCTATATATAGAAAACTTTGCCTTAATGAAAAAGTGAAAAGTTCAACACTACCCCGTGGCTAATTCATTTGTATTTGTAAAAATAGCTATGTAAATATTATTTGTAACATGAAAAGTGCTAGAATCCTCTTCTCCTATCACAATTCAAAACTTTTGGATGAAACCTTTCAAAGATTTTTACATTTTGTACATAAGATCGAAAAAAATCAATTTACGTTAACCATACGATACCAGCAGCACTTTCCCCCAAAAAACAACAAAAGAATGAGAACATTCTAAAGAAACAAAATTGATGTTTCAAAGTACTGTATGCGGCCTGGTGTTGAACTTTTGCATCTTTTTTTGTTCCGTTTTCCTTACACTTGGAGAATGAAATACCTTGCATATTTCGCCCTAAAAAGTACACGCGACTTGAGTAATTATGGTAAAATTGTTAAATCTTCATTCAGTCACCCTTTTTCTCGAAACGTTTCTAAAGGTCTATGATAAAGTGAACGAATTTGCTCATTAACCATTTGTATTATAATTTCTTGCATAAACAGGCGCAGATCAAGGAATTTTTTCACGGGGTTCAACCAAGGTCAAAAAAAATTCCCAAACTAGAAATTTATTGACACTTTAAAAAAATTGTAAAGCTCGCCAAAACATGAAAAACCTACATTGTACTTCGTGAGGAGCTCGTATTGTCGTTGACTATGATTTCTAGGAGTGTTTTGTGTCTCATATCAATTTAACTTGGTTTATTTCATACAATTTTATAACTTTGCAAATTCTAGGGAGGGGGGGGGGTCCAGACCCTTACATAGGTGATTGTTAAAATCAAAGCTTGTTTTAAGTATCCAAAAAGTATGAAGCATTTCGCTCCCAAAATAACAAAAAATGTATACCATTAATGCAAAATTTTCCTGAATTACCGTTACGCAAGTTAAATTTTTAAGAGAGACAACATTTTTTTGTAAATCAATTTGTTTATTCGAAAACGTAATCGTCTAAAATAGTTAACTTATTACTAGAATCAAAGATATAAGGTTCCGTGTTCACTTTCAGATAAGTTTCAGTTCTTTATAAATCTGCATTCCATTCGTGAAATCTAAAACAAAATTGTCTCGGAAGTTAATGGATTTTTATCAACATGCAAATACGAGGGCTGTTCAATAAATAATGTCCTCGGTGCTCAGAAAGAATCAAAAGACACTTTTCAATGATTTAGTCTTCATGATTTTACTTATTAATCTCATTTAAGCAAAATACAACTCCGTAACATTTTTTATCCAATTTCTGATTGTTTTTAGAACTCATTTTTGGGTATGTCCCTTAGTATACTGGAAAATGGCAGATCCAATGATTTCCCGGACTTGTTTCTTCTCTCTGAAAGGTGTTTTTTTTCAAGTTTGGAAATAGAAACAAGTCAAAAGGTCAAAGATCTGGCGAATATTGTTAATGTGAAAAAACATTAACTTTCTGTTTATCCCGAAAACCCCTTTACTCTTCAGGGCATGCGGGTTTGGACGCTGTCACGAAGAAATTCAATGTAGTGGATTCCTGATTCTGGGTCCTTCCTTTAATAAACCTTTTGATTTTTTTGCAAAAAAATAGCTTTCTAGACTCCTCCAGAAATGAAACTGTCTCTCCGAATACGAATTTGAACAACAATACCACTAATTTTTAAGAAAATTAAATATAAATCTGTCTTTGTGCTCTTGCATACCTGTGCTCTCGTCAGACATTCGCTGTTTTTATCAAGTACATCTTATGGTAAATTTTGTTTTTAGGGTTTTAAGCAATAGATTCATGTTCTAATATCTGTTTGAAAATGAAACAAACGTGGATAACTACAATTACTGATATTTTAAAATAGTTGTTAAGAATTTTGTATACGCTGTCATTTTCACTCATTTTTCAAAATATAGGGTGACATTTGAGTACCAAGCTTTTTTACCGTCAAACGTTTTTTTAAAACTGTGTAAACTACTCCCGATATGATGTCTATCAAATTTGCTATGTGTCTTAAATTCAATCATACATCATCAAATATTATTTGTTGAAATTTGGCGAACAGTACATAAGTTGTTATAATTTTTGTCGGCAAGGACGGTACCCATTTTTGATGCCCATTATATAATTTTTTATCATTGAAATCCACCTGCTCTTTTGTCTATAAAACAGGCATTGGTTGCTGTAAATGACACATATTTCAGTGAATATTTCATTGGGATTTTCAACAGGTTTTACGGCAGCTTTAATGAAGCATTTATTTTCACTCTAGTTTACTGATTCCTTACCATTCATTTATAATGCAGTGTCTCGAAAAGCCCTTGTTTCCCAGCTTCTCACGATGAAACTATGTGATGAAAAGTGGTCACATAAACTGTTATAAATTCATGAAAGATTCAATAATGAGAGAAAGTCAAGTTTAATGTCATATGATATCTGCAATGTATGTCATATAGTTCAGGACATTATTTATTGAACAGCCCTCGTATTTTGCATGAAAGAAGACCCATGTTTTTCTTTGCGAGAAGTTGTTTGATTTCTTTTAATATAGGAAAAAAAACTTTTTCAAACATTTATTGCAATCTGTTTGGAACTCTTTTACGGCTGAGAATTCAATCTTGAAATTGTAAATAAATGAAGCGACATGAAGTTTTCAAGTTGAATTCGTTTTTCAACATTATATTATTTTCCTACCGAAACTTAAACTGCATAAACATAAAAAGATAAATATTTACAAAACCATGTGTGTATGTTGAGACTAAGGGTTGAAATCGATCATAAAATTTATAGCCAAGATATTAGAAAGGTGTATTTGTAAGCGACTCGAAATAAATCTTAATGGTCATATTTTCGTAGAATGAATGAAGTATAAACTTTTAATTTTCTATATGGAGATTGCACAATCTTATCATGATTACTCCCTTTGATTACTTTTTGGGGGAAATATGGAGTGGAAAATATGGAGAAAACGAACAGTATTCAAGATGAAAACATCAGAAGTGGGATCAGGTACCATGGAGGAGTGAGCATATCCAGAGATCCCTTTCTTTATTTTTAAGGAGAAAAATTCAAAGAATTTTTCCACTTTTCTAAAGCTGAGCCATGATATTAAGTCTCCTCCTTAGAAAAATTGTTTGTCCTCGATGGCACCTGATCCAACCTCTAAAGTTTTGGAGGTCCGTGTTTGCTCTTCTCCTAATTTGTATTGTGTTATAGACTTTTGATCTTGAATACTGTTCGTTATTTCCATATGTTTCATTGGTATAATCTGTCCTTACGTTGTTTTATTTGTTTTTAATAATGTAACATTATTTTTATCTACATGAATTTACAGGGTGTTTCATAATATGCCACACATCTGAATGGGCATAATGTAAATATCAAACATGATACCAAAATACGATACGTTAGCATATTAATCTAAAATTATGATGTTGCAAAGTATCGGGAAAATTATAATATCGTCTCGTATCCTGTTTTCGACCCTTGTATTTTCGACCTATTTTTTCCGATCTACTTCCCGTGCAGATACCGCGCGGTACAGCATTATTTTCGGTTGCTACACTTGGAAAATATCTTTTAAACACAACTATAGTAAATATAGCCAAAATGATTCATTAAACGGATTTTCCCCCATTGTTTTATTCCGATGTCAGAAAGTCTAGACTTTTTGCTAAATGCATATTTTACCTGTTGATTAAATAAATTTGGAATTGGCTAATTATCAAGATTTTTTAAAGACGTTTTCCCGGAAAGAAAATTAAGATCTCTGTCAAATAGACGCATGAATATATAAATGAATTGGTGGATCAAACAAATTTTTTTTGTCCTTAGATATAGGTATTTTCTTACAGGTTTTTACTGAAAAATGCAACGTAATTTCATTGAAGTTTTAAAAAAATGCACAGTTACTGACAGATGGGATTAACCATCAAATAAAAATATTTGTAACCAAAATACTCAACCTATTCAATGTTTTTTTGAAAGACAGAGAGTCGTTTTTTTTTATTGTTTTGAATATTAAGCTAATACTTAAAAACAATACTGACTGGGTTTCCATACTTTATTTAGGTCGAAAAGACAAGACGCTAATATTTTTGTGAGGAAAACTGCACCCTCCCAATATTATGACATACAAATAAAATAAACACAAAACTTCAATTTGGCTTATATTGTTTTATTAACAGACACATATGCTTTCGTTTTAAGCCCTTATTTTTTCAGATTCTGTAAAATTTGCAATAAATTGATAAATAACATCTAAATAGGTCGAAAATACAATACACCAGGATATACCATGAAGTAACTAATGATATAATCTATGATGTCATAATTTCAGCTGTTGTCAAAATGGAGTACAACTTGTAGCAAAAATTTGTTGTAAATTTGTTGTTGTATTATAAGCACGATATTCTAAATATTGTATAGGGTGTGATAATGCAAAATATCCAGATCAAAAATTGTCATCGTCTAGTTTCATATATTAAAAATAATTAAAGAGTTTGAATAAAATTATAATGTAAAGATGAAATGCAGTTAAATCCTGCCCCCCCCCCCCCCCCCCCAAAAAAAAAAATTAAGATGAGATGAGAACAATATCGACATGAAGTTAACTATATATTAAGAAAATCTCACGAAAGTCAGATTTGAGTTTAAGAAAATTCTAGAGAGTAACAAGGCTGGCAAGTGTATCAAGTGTATTTAGAAATCTTAAATTTGAATTGAGTTTGTCTGCATAGAGGATTTCAGTATTTGAAATCAAGTGATGTTTAGAGTCGGTTAAAGTTTGCAAGATTGATTCAAAGGATTGATTGATTGATTGTATACTGTTTAACGTCCCTCTCCAGAATATTTTACTGATATTGAGACGTCACCATTGCCGGTGAAGGGATGCAAATTAAGACCTATGCTCGGCACTTACGTCCTTTGAGCAGGCAGGGATCTTTACCGTGCCACACCTGCAGTGACACGGGGCCTTGGTTTATATGGTCTCATCCGAAGGACCACCCGATTTAGTCGCCTTTTACGACAAGCAAGGGGGTACTGAGGACCAATTCTAACCCAGATTCCCACGGGGCTTGATTGAAAGGAAGAGCGAAAGACGTAGACACCAACGCATGCAGGTGGCATTTAACTGCAACTTTAAATTTAAAAAGAGATTTGCTTTTTGGACGTTCTAAAAAGCTAGATATAATACAAAAAAAGTCTCAAGTATCCCGCGAAACTTAATAAAGAGTGGTCAGAAATTTCTGAACATGAGTCTCCTAAGTTATTTAAGACAATGTTTTGAAAACACTTGGAGAATAACATTTTAGGATTTGTTTCCATAGTAACTGAAATGGAAAATGTTGGGAACTTCTGACTGAAAATAATAATTTTGAATATCAGATGATTGAAAAGATTTAAAAAATTATATGTAGCTTTTGCTGTAATTTTTCTATCTGCATTTAGATGTTCGACAAACATATAAATTGTGAAACAAACTGAATTTACTCCGTTTACTAGTCACTTTCCCTTCAAATATATTTTCGTAGATTAATTTTTATTGAATTAAACTCATTTAGTTTGTTAATTTATTCAGGAGAAATCAACGAACCAAATCTTTTGAATATTAAACATAAGAATTCTCTGTGTTCAAAACTGTCTTTCTTTTTTTTTTTACTTTTAATTTTCTAAAACTCTTTTTTTGAAAAATTTCAAATATGACAAGTATATCTTTATGTGAACAAGTGTCAAAATTGATTTTCCCGGATTTAGAAAAAGTGCATGGATTTTTTTTAAACCCATGCGAATGAACACTATTACTACAATATATCATATTTATAGTTTAAACTTTCTTCCTTTTCAACATCAACAACACTACAGCATACATCAAGGACTAATCCCTCCTACCTATTTATATAGAGGATGATAAAAAGCAGTAAGTTAAATAATGCTGATTAAATTAAATTAAATCATTAATTTAGAGTTACATCGTTCATGACAAACTTTGACATGTAGTTTATAGAACGGAAGAAAAAGAGATTAAAGGATATATATATATTTTTTGTATATTTCCTGTAAATACGTAGTATTTTTATTAATTGTGTCTTTGTTAGCTGTGTTGAAGTTCATTTCCGCCTTATATGTGTATGTTCTACTCTATCATAAGGGATGCAATGGAGAAACGTAAGTAGTAAATTGCACATTAATTTAATGAAGAAATATAAGAGTGTATTGAATATTAAAATTCTATATTAATTTCTGAGGAAATAACCTAACATTTTGTATTCGTTTTATTTTGTATGTGAATTATTACTTTCGATAAACAGAAAATCCTCGTAAAAGTTTCTTTTTATACAAATATAAAAATTTTTTAAACATTTGTCATGACTTAATGCGACAATAAAGTAAAATTCAGGAATTTATTTTTTTAAAAGAAACTTATGTCAGGAAACCGATAAGAAGGGAAAGTAATTTTCCTGTTTCCGAGAGATGTATAAAATGCATTTATGGAGAAATAAGTAAAATAGACTTACAGCCGTATGAAAAAGGATCTGAATAATATAAAATATAAAGAACTCGGCAAAATGACAAGGAGAAAATTGCCAAAGATTACTTTAGTCTCCAAATATCTTTTAAAATAACGCTTTTAAAACTTGTTGCCTTAAAAAAGTTAGACAACACACTTTTGATACTATTAGGGAGATAACGAAGGTAATAAATAGGAATCTATTTCTTCCATAACACAAAAAATCTAAATAAACTTTCATTGTATCAGTAATTGTTACCAGAGGAAAAATGATAACGATAATTTTGAGAATCGATATTTAGTTGGTATGTAATTAAAATTGTTTCATCGAAAAGGATTTATTTTTTTGGTTCCCATGTTTGATAATCATTAATTAGGCAGAGCAAACACAAACCTCTAAAATCATCAGAGGTGGTGAAAAAGCATTTTACCCCGTAAAGTATGATATTTACACAAAGGCACGGGGTGTACTTTTCACATCCTGGAGATCAACTGTTTTCCTAACGTACATTCATGTGACGATGAGTGATAATGATCAGCAGTTATCGTATTGTTTCGTTTAGAGCGCATATAACAGTAACATATAGCACATACATGTATAGAGAGAGAGAGCACCGTGGTATTTACCTATAGTGAGATAAAAAAGAAGAGAAAGGATTGCAAATTTAAAATGTCCTTCGCTTATAAGATTATTCTGTTGTCAAATCTAGAGCCGTGTCGACTGACAACACATTTTTTATTCTTCTACCAAGAAAAATATATGCCTTGATAACTTAGAGTGGGACCCTTGCTTGGTTTGTTTTAGCAATGAATTCATATTTTGGGATGTCTTCGGTCCTGAAACACACCGAAGATATCCTAAAACATAAATTTAATGCTTATACATGTATTTACATTCTCTAATTTCCTTTATCATACTTTTATTTTTATTATTTCGTTCATGTTCAATGTGAATTTAGCGCCTTTCGTATTGGTGTGCTTTATAAACGTAATAGCCGTTTGTGACGTTGGAAACCGTTTGTGACGTTGGAAAGTTAAATAACGCAAATAAACATTTGGAGGGAAAAATGACAAATTCATTTTTAATGCACATTTGTTGTATTTTACGTTGATTTTTAAAAAGGTATTTTTTTAATGAAATTGAGTTAAAACAATGAACGTTCGTAAATATTAAAAATGCATGTATAGTTTCTACTGTGTATTCTACTGATCTGTGACAAGGTTTCGTGTGTGTTATAGAAATTTGAACGTCGTGGTTTTCTAATGGATTTCTTAAAGAAAGAAAATTACACTGAATGTAAATATTATTGTGTATATACATATTTGAATACATTTTTGATTTAATAAACGTATACATTGGTTATGGATATCCAAAATCTAAGGAATGGTGTGGGGGCTTAATTAATATCACACTGTAATAATTCTTTGCTATATATTAGAGGATTTCATACAAACTAAAGTATAAAACAAAATTTAATAATTTTTTGATGTTTAGTAATTTCATTATTACTTACGTGTTTGCACTACACAGCTATATTTCAGGGAAAATTCATATTACACACATAAACAATTTTTTTTAGGGGGGGGGCTAATGTTTCGGCGTTGACGAATTTTTTGTCTTGAAAATAAACAGTTTTATTATTGCATTTTTTTATTTTAGGGATTGTATCCGCAAAGCAACAGACCTATACCATAAATTAATTAATAATTCGACTTGCTTGTCCAGTTTGTCAGGTAAATTACATGTAGTTGTTAACCCAAAATCTTTAAAATTTTTCATTATATTGTTATTAATACGAAAAAGTAATGATAAAATATAAAAATATATGGATATTTTCGGGGATTATTTCTCATGGTTTTTCTTATTAACAGTGAATACTTCGTTAAGCAATCTGGAGAAATGTTCCCCAGAATGTTCAATAATAAACTCTGAAGCACCGGACAATTATGTGAGAGTACAAATCAAATACACTGTTGATACTGTGTTGAAATTGGAACATAAGAAGAACACACAATGTTCTTATTCATCTAAAGATATCAATATTGATTGCAAAATTGATCAAAACACATTAGGTAAGTTTCTACAATTTTTGCATAACAAAAAAGTAATAAAGGAAAAGATAGACTAAGATCCCAACGCTACCAATGATTTTGCTTTTAAAATGATGCAACAGTTTATAAATAAAAACCAGCTTTTTTCCTACCACAAATTGAGTATATTCTATGTTAGGGGATACACAGAGGTCACAGAAATGTCAATTTCCGAATTTTCTCATGAAAATACAGCTAAATTGGAAAAACGCGAAAAAGTGTCCTTCTTCCGCACCCTCTTGTGTCCTCTGTGTAAACTCCACATAAAAAATTAATGTTGGTTTTAAAATAATGAAAAATGTTTCGCAAAATAAAAATAAATCTGAAATTAAAATGTAAGAAATGTTAAGGCATTCTTAGATAATTAATTTTTCCATATGAAATATATACGAGGGTTGTCCCAAAAAGTCGTAGACAGTGAACATAGTTTATTTCCTCTTTGCTAAATCAAATTTCTTTTCATAGCAAAAAATAAAATTTTATGATCATGTATTTTAAGTGTCATGACGATACCTCATTTAATAAGAAAACTATGGAAAAATAAAGAAAACCATGTAAGTGTTCATCGGCGCACGAAAGCAATCGTAATTAACGTCTCTCATAACGTCATGGTCCCTTTTTTTGCTTCACATGTGGCTATTAACATCCAAATGAATATTTCGTTCATAGTGGAAAACCACTCTTAACTAAGAAACTAATTTAAATTCACTACTGTCCGTTTTCTTAATATGCAGATTCAAATTTTAGCCAAAATTATATTAGTTGAACGATCACCTTACATTTTAGGCTGTAATTAGGCAGCAGAGAATGCACCTTGTTTGACGAAGTTCATGGTTCAGATCGATCCCAAGTGTCTGCGTTAAACAATCAATGCTCTACTTTACATGCAATAACTATTTTTTTCGATATAGAGGAAATTAAAACTATGTTTGAATCTCGTGCTATTAAAAAAACAATTTTTCTATTAAAATATAGTGTGTAATGTCCTTTCTGTACTCTTTTCCCCCGTCTCTGAAGAATATAAAACATACCAAACACAATTTATTACATTTCCGTGCGCCGGGTACGCGTTCAACGACGTCATTTTCATAAATCTCAATTCGAAAAATACTTTGAAAATCATGACACTAGTCGTCTGTTTCTAATGCTATTTATATGAAATTTTGACATATTATTAAGATTTCGATTCTGGTTTCAGTGATTTGAATTTTAGTTCAATCTTTCACATAGTATCAAAGAAATAAAAACATATGTAATAGTTATATGCTTAAATTATTCCGAATTTTGGTCGTGCGCCGACAGACCATATCGGCCTTCGTATAAATCGTCCCAATATAATTAATATGAAAGATATATATTTAAAAATTCACAATTCTAAAGAACATTGGATGTATTATGTCTAAGATGTAAAATTTGGTTAGTATTGCTTGCGTGTTAAAAAAGGAATTATAACATTGTCTATGACTTTTTGAGACAACCCTTGTATATACTGTAAACATATTACATTTGGCTGTGTATTCGTTTTAGCACCTTTCGCGGTAAGCAGCCCCCGCTAAATCAAGTACATCGCTAAAGGCTTTGTGTATAAAGATTTATGTAACGCACATGCAAAAAGCGCTAAATCAAAACTTGTTGAAAATTCAATTTCCACCAAATATCGTAAACGCCAAATATAATACATTTACAATATACAATAATAAGACCTATAGATTTATATGTCTATATTCAATTATTTCATTTCAGGGTCACTGCAAAGTTGCATAATTGGACGTTGTCTTTTAGGACAAAAAGAAAGGAAACAAGTCATGGAGACACAGACCTGTCCATGTTAGTATTAAAATGTCAAGAAAAATTATTTTATGTTGAATGAGTCATTGGGAGGACATTTCTAATAAGGGATTTTTTCTTCATTTTTTAGTGATCGGGAATGGTTCTGACAAAAATGTTATCCTTAACATTTACCATCTGATTATTGTCATGGTGTTAGGATCAACCCTTGAATATTTCTCATTGACAGGTATTTTGTTAATCTGAAACCTGTATATAATATGACAGCTACTAATTGCATTTCAAAACAAAAATTCTTTTCTGCATGTACTAATTACATTTATATAGATAAATGATTAATTACATGTACTTAAAGTTGAAAACAGCGTTATAGAGTTAAGTAATATTTTTAAAATACTTTTCATGTGAATTTTGCAGAAAACTAGTTGATATCACACTGAATCTACAATTATACCTTGTCTGCATGACAATGTTCCAGGCAGTATTTATAGAGTTTGAAATGAAGGATGGAAGTGTGAATCTATACAGAATCTCTTCACAGCAACCAATTTAAATTATCTAGTTAGAAAAACATACCATCTTTATTAAGTCTTAAAATTTATATTTTATAGATCTATCATCGAAGATTCGGGGATATTTAATTTTTGTCCTGTCCATCCATCCGTCTGTTTTTGTCTGTTTGTCCATAACTTTTGAGTGAGAAAGGTATGATTTTTATATTTCACAGATGCGTTCCTTAATTTTGATAAGGCCAAATTTGACCAAATGTGACCTCTTGGCCTTAGAGTTTAACCCACTTTTACACAAAATTACCCAACATCTTGGTCATGATTTTGGAACAGTTGGTACTAGGGCTTCCAAACCAAGCTTATCTGGGTATTTATTTTGACAAGCCCTTCAATGAGTATAAATGTTTTGGATCTTTTGACGTTGACCTTAGAGTCTAACCTAATTTCAAAAAATCTTCAACTTCGGCCATAACTTTTGAACAGTAAAAAAAAACTAGATCTTTCATATTTCAAAGGTTAATTCCTTATTACAAGACCGTTTGGATACCTGCAGCAATTTTGATCTTTTGACTTTGACCTTGGAATTTGACTTGAATTTGAGAAAGAAAGTTCAACGCTCCCTTTATCCTGACATACGGGGGCATCAGTGCTTCACAATCGCATCTTCTCCTTATCACGTTCATGTCAGAAAAATATGTTCTTCATGTATATATTGAAATATTTTTTTGTTTTTTTTTTTAAATTTGTTGATATGATTATTATTATGAAGTACTTATTTTACAAATAAGTACATTTTACACAGATATTTTCTCAGGTCAAAATTTTGAAATTAATATCCTCTTTAGGCAATATTTACTTTATTATACCTCTGATGTTTTGGAGGTCAGTGTTTTCTCTGTTCCTGTTTTGTATTGTTTTATGGTCTTTTCAACTTGATTACTGTTCGTTATCTTCATATACGTATTTCTTATACTACAGTTACTAAATAACGAGGACGTGTCAGATTTATGTTTATGACAGAATAAAATGAATGATATCTTAATGATCCTCCATAGAATATAATTTCATGCACTTTATGATGAAATTTTGAATATCGTGCAAATGTTGTTGTCAAATGAAAAAAGATCATTGTTATCTTTAAGTGTACATACATCATTGTTATCTTTAAGTGTACATACATGTTATTAAATCAAAATAATTTAGAAATAATATATATTTTTTCCTTAATTCTTTAATTTGATTTCACAGAATGAATTCAATAAAATATGTTCAAGGATGAGGATATAAAACTAAAATGTGATGACAAGAAAAGGGGGTTAACTATATACATGAAACAAAATTTTTTTACTCTGTCTGAACTTCAAAAATATTACATCATTAGCTTAGAAGCTATTATCCTATCGTCAAGCACGAAGACAAATCATTAAATTAAAGATCGTAGTTTCACTTAGCAAAGACTTTAGTTAAATTAGCAGTTTTGCATAGAAGCCGAGGATACTCGATCAAGAACTAGAGTGCCACAATTTTTTGATATCATTCCAAATATTTGAAATAATGTATTCACCCTCCAATAATCTATTTTATTTATTTTCTTGGTATGTTTTTTTAACTCTTGGTCAATAAAAAAATACATATTTGTCGAAAATGAATGTGTTTTGCTGCCAATGATTATTTCATCATAAAAAGTAATTTTATTGCATAATATTACAGCTGTATATATCTTCATGTGGTGACTTAATGTCTACTTAAAGGAAATAGAGCCAAGGAAACTGCACAAAATGTCATTGAACATGTGTTGAGTTTTCTATGAAGAACGCTATTTCACAACTTTCTTGGGAAAAAATGACCAATTGACAAGAATGTTATTTTACAAGATAGATACATATTAATTTAAACAAAAGAAAAAAAAAACATGTACAATCCAATTAGAAACTCATTTAAGAATTGGAAAAAAACATGATTTGTTGATGTTTTTTATTTGGATACAGAATATGTTTTTATCAGAAATTGGTGCAAAAATGCTGATCAAATTTCAGTAGGAGTGACCAACTGAAAGGGACCTTGGGTTTTTGCAAATCTGTGTCATGCTTGGGTTTTAAATGCGTATGATGTATATATTACTATAAACACCTAGTACGTAAACAAGTATATACATTTATTTCAATCAATACTTTTACCCAATATGTGCAGCTGAAGATTTGATTAAGTAGAGATTATCAACCATACAAGAAAACAGTTTAAATTCTATATTACATAATAGTATAAATTCTCAATTTTTTTTTTCATATACAGGGAAATTTCCTTATGTGGGCAAGGAAATCCTGATGATTAGAAATAAATCCAAATTTTATATCATTAAATATAAATCATTAGAAATGCATATTTTTGCGGATTCAATCTCAGATGGCTCAGATACCAGAATTGCAAACCATAACAAATCAGAGAAGAAGGAGAAAAGTTAAATAGTAAAACAATTATAGGGAAGCTCGTAAAAAAATCAGTTCTTGGCATAATCGAACTAAAAGCTGTCTGAAAAATACTATATGTAATACAAACTTTTAAAAGTATTTAATATAAATGTTTAATATGTTAAAAATAAAGAGAACAAGGCGGACATTAATTTCATTAGTTTATATTAGATGTAGAAACTGTTTCTAAAACACTTCCGCCTAATGAAATAAACATCATTACATGTTAAGGGACGTGGAAACAGTTTCAACTAAATTGTTTACAATTTTTTATCTATTTTTTTATGTTTACAAATACTTAACTAAAGTATTTTTAATGATCTTCAAAAGTTTGAATTATAGTTGTTGAGATACATGATAGATAAAGAGGTTCTAACCTATGTTGTGTCTTGTTTTGTTTACATTGGTTAAATATACAAGTATATCTTCGTTCAAAAAAGCTTTTTTTGATCAAGAAATTAATTCTTAATACGATAAGCCAGTAATTTGCTGAATCTCGTTTTATTATAAAAATCTTATCTTTAACGAAATAAACGAAACTAAATCCCCCGCGAATATTTGTGCTTAAAAGTATGTAAACAAAAACAAGGCACGAGCCTTGATTACATTATGAAATATTTTGAGGTTTTTTTCTCCTTTGTAAATCAACAAATGATGTACATTTTTTTTCTGATACTTTCAATTGCTCTAATTATTTATGGTAAACATTTAAATTTGTTGTTGTTGTTGTTTTTTTAATCAGTTGAAACTTTGCCGATATCCCTTTTATTGTTGCAGCTGCTTTGGTTAATAAAATTAATTATTGCGCCAAATTAAGAGTAAATATAATAAGTTGCGATACTCGCTGAAGCAATAATTAATTGAGGCCAAACCTTTAAAGGTGCATATACATAGATCTAAAGTTAATATTTTCTTAAAATTTCTGTATGTTATAACGACCTATGCATGTATATTGCATTTGTATTTCGCACGAAAATGTGATAAGAATTTCATTCAATGTCGAAGTTATTGAAACGTTGAATTTTTGTGGCAATCTTGTTGTGTATTAATAAAAAAAAATTTAAATCTATAATCTATAAAATTTAGGTAATAAATGTTCGAACGCAAAACCCCCTCACAGTACATTGTCACCTTGTGCTCAATGGTGTGTGCAGACTTAAACAATTGAACACACCTGATTAATCGTAAGCATTAACAATAACAGACCTCGTGCCCTGTTCACAAAAACAGTTTTCGTTTCACGGTGTATTCAACTTGTAATACTCTGTACTCAACACTGAGCACGGACCATACTGTAGGGGTTTTCTTTTGATCAATTCGATCAAAAAATAATCCTGAAATTGGTTTGAATAATTGTTTTCCTGCTCAAATACGTAGCTCGCTGCGATCGTTGCAACCATTGTTTACAACGTTGTCCAATGTTTTGATTGTGACATCACAATGCCGTTGCACGCCCATAGACCCTCCGGTGAATACGGCCTAAAATCCGGTGAATATGTAGTGTTATGAACTGTTTGTGTTTGTATAGATTATTTAGGGACTATAAATAGACTATATAATAATATCATATACACAACTGTCTATCAGTCAATTTTACTGTTGATTTAATGCAATAAGGTTACGTCATGATCTAACCTTCCGTATCACCACAGTGTGGTTTTCTGAATCCATACCACCTCTCTTTGATTGATTGATTGATTGTATGTTGTTTAACGTCCCTCTCGAGAATTTTTCACTCATATGGAGACGCCACCACTTGCCGGTGGAGGGCTACAAATTTTGTCCTGTGCTCGGCACTTAGGGCCTTTGAGCAGTGAGGGATCTTTTTCGTGCCAGCACCTACTGCGACACGGGGCCTCGGTTTATACGGTCTCATCCGAAGGACCGGTCTCCACGTCCCGTCGTGGGATTCGAACCCACGACGTAAGGATTGACTCCTTACTTCGCGACTCTAGAGCAGACGCTCTAACCACTGTGCCACGCGGGCGACACCTCTCTTTGAAACTAATGACGTAGTACGCAGAAAAATGACGTTATTTATCTTGCGCGTTAAATCTTAAGTTTCCTGACATCATCTACTTAATGTTTTTAGAACTAAATCTGTAACCGTGTATCAAACAATAATTTTGAAAAAAAAACTGTCAGTTTCAATACCTGTCAGGAAAGTTACTTTTTCTTCAGATCTACTTGGGTTCTGTCATAGAGGGAAATAATATGAATTTATTGCCACACTTTTTAATATAATCTGGGTAAAAAAAATACTTCCGGTATTTTTAGTAAAATAATATCACTTTTAAAACTCCATTTTTCAAAAGATGATAGAAATATGTAGATAACGAATAGTGTATCAGACTTAAAAGTTCATTAAAACAATACAAATTAGGAACAGACCAAACACAAACCTCTTCAATCATAACAGGTGATGATAAATCATAGCACGTCACTGTTCAAAGTATATTATTTACACATACTTTGCACATCCTGGATTTCAACTGTCTTCCTAAAGTGCATTCATGTGACAATGAATGATCAATAAATGTAATTATCGTATTGTGTCAGTTAGAGAATAAATCACTTACAACACAGCCATCTATATCAATCACCTCAGTCATACTCTATAGGGATATTAAAATAAGATTTTAAAAAATGCAAATTGAAAATGGCCTCCACTTGATAAGTTATTCTGTTGTTAGAACTAGTATTGTGTCAACTGACAACGCATATTTTAACGTATGCTTAGATAACGCACTGTGGGACCCTTGCTTGGAAAATTAGAGTGAATATACATATTTCAATACATTTTTATTGCATTAAAGCTAAAATTGGGCATGGATATCCCAAAAATGGAGAAAGAGGGGGGAGGGGGTTATGAATATCAAATAATTCTGTATTAAAAATCAGAGTACTTGAAAAAAGTAAAACATAAAACATTTTTTACAAATTGCCTGTTAGTACTTTTATAATTTCTTAATTGTCTGCACTGCACAGCTGTATTTCAGGAAAAAAATTATCATACACACATAAACAATATTTTGGCTATGGTTTCGGCGTTGATTGGCGACACGTGATTGTGCTGGTTTTCTTACCTTATTTATGTTTACAGTTTACAGTTTAT